ATTTGATATTTGCCACAATCAGTGTGGAATTTAATATCTGAGAATTTTAGAAGTGATCCTGACATTTTAATACTGTCTTACTTTTTCTAGCAGTATTTTATTTTTTTAAGCCCACATGGAATGTTTTGATTGTTGCAATGCAGTTTTGATGCAGACCCACACAAAGTGTCTCTCCAATCTGCAAGAAAAGGATGCAAGATCAAACGAGACGCTTTTTCTGCAAACAAGAAAATATTGTGCAGGATGGAGCTCAGCTGCCAAATGCAAGTCCCCACCAAAACAGCACAGAACCTGAAAATTGCAGCAAATCTTTGCCTCACATAAAATAAAATGATCTCCAGAAAGGCAGCTGTTGTTCTACGGGTAGAGCAGTTGGCTTCCAGAGCAGGGTAGCAATAAGATAGTATGCTTTATTATGAGTGTCATGGAGACGGTGTGAAAAATCAAGAGCCATAGGCAGTAAGCGGCAATGGGTCAATAATGTTCACCGAGACATTGTGTAGATAATCAACAACAAGGCCCTGGGTTCTCTATGCACTGCAAACAGCTGAAGGGCAAATCAATACAGCCATGGGAAGGACACTGCCCGGCGCCGCTCCCTGCAGCACGCGGCGGAGGGCACCCTAAAAACAAGTGGATGCAAACTTGTACTGCTGTAAAGCCATGCGCTCGGAACACAGCAAGGCTTGGAAAATATCGAGTAAGTAGAAGAGGAGGGGACAGAGCCCAACCTCGATATTAAATTACAGAAGAAATTAGATACCAAAAAATACGAATTTGGAAAGCTCCAAATGACAGAATACAACCTGACAGTAATTTTCACTCCAATTACATCCTTAAAAATAAACTCAAATCCAAACCCCCTGAAATGAATAAGACATATACCTGAAAGAAAGAGTTTAACACAGAGCAGCTTAAAATTTGGAGTACGATAATTAATGATCTGTCTTTTAAATTAGAAATCGCGCATTAATAGATGCATCTGTGAAATAGCAGTGATGCAAACCAAACACAAAATACTGAATACGACTGGCTCTGAGGCAGCGTTTTCCTGGCAGTATTAATAATTGACACCTTGTTAAATAAGTGATATTAATATTGTAAATTTCTCCAGAAAAAAACTATCATTTGTGAATGTTGATTTATTATTTGCTAAAAAAGGTGATTCTTGACATCCATCATTCTATTAATCATTAGATGTAATTTCTCAGTCATTGTGTACAACCACCTTTCTTGAAAACAAAGTGAAAATATGCTGGAAGGAAAAAAGCTCATGAAATGCTTCTGTTTTCAATTATTCCATCCGAAAAAGCCTCCCTTCCTCCTTCCAGGGCATGATAAAATTCCTGTCCTATTTCAGCTATCGTGTAAAAATAACATAACCACATTTAACTGGGTGCTCACTTAGGGTAGGTTTGTTCTGCTGTTGGCAACTGCCACAAAATTTTCTATAAAGTATAAATGGTGAAGTGACAATCTCAGCAATACCAAACAGCCACACTACACCGATCTTGCTATTGAGATTGAAATATTTGGATTTTTTTTTTTTTTTAGCATGATGGATACAAAACCAAAACCTTTTAAGCTTTATTTTCCTCACGTTAACTATTTCTGTATGCACAGCCGTAAGTTATTGGATTATATTTTCATGAATTATTCAGGGCAGCCCCCAGCAGCGGGGGAGCAGCGCATGCTGCAGCCCTGCTCTCATGCAGAGGGCTCCAGCACCGTGGGGCGAGCAGACCTGCGCCAGCCCTGCAGCACTGCTCCGGGCAGGGAGGAAGGGTTCTGCTCTTGTGCTGAGCGAGCAGAGTTTGTGTGGTTTGATATGCACAAGCTGGATGGGATTGATTGCTGCCAAGTGCTCCCTTGCTCCCTCCTCGTAGCACTCGTTTCCCTTGGACCCGCAGGAGTGGTGGTGGTGTTTTCGGCTGGCTTTCATGGTGAAGAGCAAATGTAGTTTTGTTTTGGAAAATATTCCAGTAAAAAGCCATTCAAAGTTCTGCACTTCTGTGCAGGTAAGAAAGGAAATAGGGGAGTATGATTGGAATAAATAAAAAAAATATGTCTGAAGATGTTGAAATAAAACAGAGAGCACCTTCTGGTAAGGGAGTTTCAAAGTCCTCTGTTGTTTTCACCATACAAAACAAAGGCTGTAAAAGCACAGGGCAACAACCACAGAAAGGAAATGGTTATTTAAGCTAAAGGTCAGTGTTGGAATAAACACTTAAATAACCATAATTACATAGGTGTGGGAATACGTGAAAGACTTCCAGCCCTTGATTTTTAACCCATCGGTATTCTGGAATCCCTTTTCAAGCACAGCAGAGGGTGTCCAGAAGTCCCACATTCCTCAGGCATTGCACCTTGCTGTCCCACAGAGGTGCCCCTGCAATGCCCACAGCTCACTGCACTTCCCTTGTGCCCATCTCAGCTCCCACTCCAGTTAATGATGAACACAATTATGATGGGGATAAACAAAAAAAATTCTCATATCTACTTCAAACTTTTGCTAACCAGCTAAGTGCTCTAATTGATGCTTGAGCAAACCAGTTAAAATATTTTGAGCTTCAAGAAAAAAAAAAAAAAACGCTGAGCTTTCTGAAACATCTTTTTCTTCATAATCCTGTATTTATTTCATGAGTCCTAAGCAGCTTGAAATCTTTAACTATGAGAAATAACTCGAAAGATTGGATTTGGAATAAGAAATTTGTATCCAATAGATGGCGTTGCCTCCTAATAGTCATCTATCTGTCTCTCAGCAGATTTCTCTGATCTTCTGAATAATAATAAAATCTGCAAAGGACCCCTTTATTACCAATCTTTGCTCTCCATAGAAGCTTACTAAGAAAGCAAGAAAACAAGTATTGTGCACGTTCACCAACACATCAAATTACGGCAGTGCATTATTCAGGCAATTTACTGGCAGAAATCTGGGGCTAGTTCCAGGAACCCAACACAGCAGGACGTCAGCTAACATGGAAGAGACAGCACTTTGGATAAAAGGGTTGCAAATGTCAGCTATGCACAATCACCTTCAGAATAGATAGATGGTGGTGACCACACCACTGTAAAAGAATTGAAGAAAAAAGTGAAGAGAAAGGAAGGTGTTTTAACATGCCCACCAAACCAGCACAAATCAAGTCAGAGGGATGGTTTCATGGAAGGTCTCGCCGTGGACATGCATGCAGCTATGAGCACACTTCTGTCCTGCCTGTCAGCACCTCTGGTCTTTTGCAAAACTGCTGTAGCAATCAGACTGTGCATATTGTTTTACAGAATCACCTGGAATTCACACTGTGACAAAAAAAAAATTCAGAATTACTCCATATACTGATAAACCACCTGGAACCAGTTCTGTAAATGAAGTATGAATTAGACAAAGGTTTAAATGCAAGGATGGTAACACTGGTTACATACTTCCACTAAAAGGAATGATGGGCTTTGTCACCTATCTCCTTGCGCTCTGAAGACAGAGAGAATGGAAGAAGTGTATAGTTGTGCCCCCCCCCCCCCTTTTTTTTTTCTTTCTTTTTTCTCTCTGCAGAATGACAAAGAATTAGCCATTAGCTTGAGATGACAAGACTTCACAGGCTTATCTGGACTTCATGCTCTGAATTTTCAGTGTAATGACACACAAAGCAAGGAAACATAGTCACTGCCTCTTAATGGAGGGATGTCCAGCAACCAGATGCTTTGTCATGCTGGCTGCTGAATAGCTGGGAAAAAAGTAATGAAGCTTGTGTATTTGAAAAAGGGAATTCACAGACCTCTGTGTAGCAAGGCATAACGATGGCTAGGTGCTGATACCGGACTGCAAGGCAGCAAAAATGCTCAGTACATCTCATAGATCAATAAATAGCAGTTCTTGTGGACTAATTTTATAGTTAAATTAATAAATCATGATTCAAATGACAATGTAAAACAAAATAGAACAGCCTACCGATACTCTTTGCCTCCATTACATAGCTTTTTATAAAATAAATTTGGCCAGCTCGGCTTCCACAAGACAGCTGTCTTAAGAGAAAATACCAAAACATAGTATTCTGTCAGCTACTAGATTTGCAAAATAAAAGACAGAATCTCCAAAGACAAAATGAATCAGACGTGTACCTAAGAACACAGTTCTGCCAGCGAAGTATTAAGTGACACTGTAGATTTACCAGGAAGAAATCCATTCTACCTTGTTTATAATACTTTCAAAGGACTAAGGATTTGTGCTTTTAGTCCAAGTTAAGAAACAAAAACCATTTTTACACAAAAGCATTATATTTAGATCACAGAAATCCTCAAGCCAAAACAAACAAACAAAAAAATCCACTAACAAACAAAACCAACTAATAAGGCAGATTCAAAAAGCAGGTGCTTTATGCCAGCTTTACTGTTGACGTTCGGTGTGGAATAACAGCTACTCACATAGCATGAGGAATAGTAAAGAACACTCATCATTTCAAAAATGGTAAATGCTTTGTTATTTAAACATTTTTAGTTCCAAGCAAATTCAAATCAAGCCCTCATTTCAATGTTATCCTCAAGCATATCCTCTTCTGGGTCACGGGTAAGAAATTATGTATCTTATTTAATATCAGAAAAGAGTAAATACTCAAACAGAAGCATTATGCCATTTAATAGAGAGGAGTTCTAGGGGGAAACAATCAGTAGATTTCCTTTGTGATTTCTATAGAAGATAAGTATACAACTATGAAGTATAACTTTTTAAAATATAACTTTTTAAAATCAGATTTTTCAATTATTTCAGAGCACGGCCATCACCTAACTTTAGGCTTTCATTATTAACCCATCTGTGGCACCCATTCAGTTCCAGTGAATGAAGACAGTAGGGCCCTATACACCTTGAGTCCTTCATTAAACTATTGATCCCCTCAGCATTATCCATAATGTTCCAGCAGCCCAGCATGTCAACAGATGTAGAGCTCACTGCTCTTTCCTTTCAATAACTTCCACACTTTATGGGGAGGAAGTCACAATGATTTATTTACCTGACATTTCCCAGTCCGGATATCGTAGAGGGCCACTGAACCATGGCGAGCTCCAACTGCTATTCTGTGACTTCTCTCGTAATAGCTGACCATGTAGAACCTGAATTGAACATTATAACAAGTAACAGGTGAGAACTGACCTGCCTGCATGACGTTAAAATTAATTTGCAATGCCACTGGGTAACTAATGTTAACATGGGAACAGAGATTTTACTGAGAAATTCATCAGCTGCCAGTTTTCGTTGTTGGCATTTAGCAAACAGAGCTAACTGATGCTTGATACATCACTGCAGAGATATAACACATTTATTCATTTTTGGTTTTGTTACAATGTGGTTAAACAACTCTGTTGAGTTTGGGAAAAATCTATGTAATAATCACCAGTTCCCTGAACATCCATGTGCTTGTGTTGTTCACAGTTCAGCACCACCATAACCTGGATGCCAGTGGTCGAAGAAGACAATTCTAACATACTGAGTGACTTAAAAGCAAAAAAAGGACAATTTATCAAACTAGCTGTAACCCTGTAACACTGTTCAGGTGAGAAGGAGTTGAGGAGCATGTGGTAGTTCTTAAATTCAGAAGGAGTGTATGCCATTGATTTGAACACAAACAACTGCAAAATTCAAAGAACTCCCCGAACTACTTGGGAATATACTTGCACTTTTCTTCTAAATGGAAAAGCAGACCTGTGAAAACTGTCAACTGCATGTCCTTTTAAACTTCTATTTTACAGTTAAATTTTATTATAGCAAACTCTACCAGAGCCCGCTAGAATTGTTCTATCATAATATACTGCTGACCACATTTATGGCTTGAACAGGAAATCTTGCAATGAACCATCTCCTTGTTCTTAAGGATTCCCAAAGTGCCACAGCAACAACTTTCTTACACAGCTGATACACTCTTTTCTATGGCACATTTTAGCAGTTGGGAAGAAAAACAGCATGAAACATGGTGTTAAACCAACAAAAGTAAGGAAATGAAAAGCATTTGTTTTCATGCAGAACAAAAAGCAAGACTAACTAAGCCCAGGTGCTCCAGGATGTGCCCAGTGCCCAATGCTGTGGATATGCAGCTATCCACAGCGTCGACAGCAGTGGATACCTACCTACCTACCCACAGCATTAGGTACTGGGCATGTTATCCACCACATGTGGATAATACGTGGGGCTGCAATAACAACTTTCACAATTTTCCCTATTTTATATCAAGCTGCAATCACCAACACAAAATGGTGCCTCAGTTGACCAGGGAAAGGCTGGTTATCTGTAAGGCTCTTTTATATAACCAGCAAACTTGGGATTTATATTTAAACTTGCAATGTATCATTACAGGTGAAACAAAACACAACAAAAGGTTTCTACATAAGAAGTTTTAAATCCCTATTACTACTATTAGAACACTGGGCACAGTCCACTTGCCTTCTCCAACAGATTCAGAAACAGAATATTGCATACTGTTATATGTAAGCATACAGCATTTCTCCTCTTACTGCATTTAAATGCCCATTTAGACAGAGAGCTGAGTCAGTATTTCTCTTTGAGAAGAATCCATCAGTCTACATAACAACAGACTGTTTGCAGGAAAAAGCTTCGAGGAAACAGACATTTTTGAGCTTAATTTTATAAAAAACATTACTCCTTCAGCTGACATTTAGTTGTCAGCCCTTTCGCTTTACCCTTTATCTTTTGGCTTAGTATTGTTGCAGCATCCACAGATTTAAGTATTTTAATCCTCTGCCTCCCCTTTTTAAACCTCTAAATGGCAGGGCTGAATAGAGAATGATATGCCAGCATATATTTCGGCTATGCTACAGATTCATTTTTGCAAGCCTAGCTGATGCATCTATATCCACCATTGGCATCTTAATGGAAACCTCGCTCTGAGTGCTGCTCCATTACTGCTCAGCAAGGAAACTTCAGTCAGCCAAGAGACAGCTTAATTTAACTGCTGGAAGACCCAAAGAAACAGTGCTGCTACTGTTGGTACCAGCTCAGCCCCCAAACTAAAGGGTGAGCTGCAACTCACATGCGTCTTTCTCCCTGCGCTTCCCAAATGAAAACTTTCTTTGGGAATAGGACAGATGGTCAAGGAGAGAAAAGCCAAGCTTTTCTACTGTCAGACCTCAAACGCTCAAAATCTTTGTCCAAAGTACTTACTCATTAGTTAGCAAACAAAAAGTGATGAAAGATCAATTGAGAAACCACCAAGCAGAAGGGAAGGTACCTCTCACTAATGGCCTTGAATTCCTTCAGTTCTGCTCTCTTAAGTTTCCACAAACAATCAACGCATAGAATGTTGTTGTACAACCTCACTTTGTCTAATCCTTGATGTTCTCTCTGCAAGTCTGCTCCTTAGTAAAAAGCAATCTAAAATAGTTGCTGTAAATTTAATCTATACTCCCATGTGAGATGATGCCGTTACACAGAAGGTTTGAAGTCAGCAAACTGTACTAAATGCATGACCTGACCCAACACAGTCCATCAGGGACCACTCAGCTTTGTGCAGTTGCTGAATCAGGATAATGCTGAATTTGAACAGAATTTTGCTGCCTTCAATATTAGCCCTTGAAATTTTAAAGAAATTCAGAAATATCTCATGCATATTGCACTGCACTTCAAAACTTCCTTTTTTATACGAAATGGGTTGGTACTGAGGATGCCAAAAGGTAATACAATCCTCAATTAAAAAAATACCACTAATGGAAAAAGAAAACACACATAATAGTCATGTGCAAGGAAATACTCTGCACGGTGATGGATTTACCTCATCACCACGTAACAGGACTGAGTCATGCTCACGGCAACTAGCAGTAGACTGCTACTTTTGTACAACAGTAAGAAAAAAAAAGAAAAAAGGAAAGAATCTGGTACTTCAACACAGCACACTGCCGTTCACAGCTGTGGTTTTTTACTGTCCTATTAAAATATGACCACCCCTTCAAAGGGACAAACAAGCAAAATATTTGTCATTATAGAACACTGCGGAAATGCCTTATGAGAGGCTATGAATAAGAATGCACACCTAATTAAAGTATTTGGGCACCTACACAATTTAGTCACAACAGGTGTGCATATAATGCAGGTCAGCAGAAAGGGCAGCAGATATTAACAGAATTAATAATAGGATTACGTCAAAGTGCTTCCACTTGGACTCTCTCCAGATGCTCAACAACTTGCTAAAATCTTATGAAAATTTCCACTGGGCTGAATGACCACGTCAGTGGGGTGCTGTATCATTTTTACAATGGCTATAACTATGTATAATAGGAAATATTACTTGTAATTTAACAATCTGTTAAGATAATGTATAACTATAAAAGTACAACAGGAAAGGGAAGATTTTTTGCACTAATTCCCACTTGCCCTTGCATTTATGTGTTACGTTAAGCCTTTTAAAGTATCAAGAAGAAGGAAAACTACCTCTATCAGTGTCTTATCTGTCAACAGAATAATAGTTCCTTTCTTGAAACTACTCAATATTTTAATAGCTTATTAAATTAAAATGTAATGGTGGAGAGACAAAAGTTACAATTTATTGGTTGTACTGGTTTAATGGTATAACTGGGACATTCATCACAGTCTTAAGACGCTGTGAGTGTCCACATGTTGTAAATTGCCATTTTACTGTTAAAGAGGCTCAGAGCCAAGCAGAAACATCCCAGGACCAAAGCACATAATGGTGCTCAGCTCCCTCCCCAGATCAGTGGGGCTGGGAATCTGCACACTCTAAAGAAACCAACAGTGCTCTTCTGATTTTGCAAGGTTTAATTTCAATTGCATCTCCTGCATCAGTGTGAGAGCTTCAAAATTTTTTTTAAAAACCACTTCAACAGCAGCCTTTGTGTCCTGCTTTCTGCCACAGGGCTCACCTGTCCCCCAGCAGGGGTACCTGAATTCAGCTTTTGTTCCCTGCTTCCCAAATCTGCTCAGAGCTCAAGGATGTGTTGGGAGAGGAGCAAATTCCAGCAGGTCTGAGAGGCTCACCCAAAACTGCAGGGCTGTGCCAAAAACAGACTGACAGATCACACAGATTACAACAGCAGTCAGCTACTTTCATTAAGGGACGCAACTTTTTATTTTCAGAATTCTCCACTGGAGGACATTTCAGAGAGCAGAGCAGAGACAGGCTTAAACTTCCTGTGAGTTAGATAATTTTTTGCTATTTGGCCAGGCTTTCCTGAAGGACTAAGCTGCTGACAACAGATCTAGAAATGAAAGCAAGAGAGCTTGTAGGCCCACCTACACCTGGAGAGCTGACATGTAGCTTAAGCTGGCTGCTCACAGCTTCATCACAGCTTAGGAAGTGACAGCAATTCAGCTCCAAGGTGTTTGAGGAAGTCAGCACAGGCTACCTGTACCTGGAAACAATCCACCACTAAGCTCCCCTAACCCTCCAAACCAAATCCTTATTTTCTGCTGTCACCATCTTAGTCCATTTTTCTTCTGCAGCCTGTACATGATTATGTCAATTAATTCACTCAAGCAGGTCATACATATTGGAATCTAGCTTGTTACTCAAGAATGTTATTATCATTTCTGCAACAACAGCAACAAAGATATTCATAAACCCTTTGAAAGAAAGCTGCCCAATTAATTTGGTCTGCTTATGCAGCTGTTGCAGTTAGCATGCATGACAGGGCAGCAGGACAGTTTTTCCAAGAGGCTGCACAGTGTTTTCCTCGTTCTGGACTTCTACAATACTTGGTTAATGCTTCTCTTTTCTGGTTTCTATCTGTCAGATGTGGCATAAAACTAAAAATCTCTAAAGAATTAGAAAAAAGCTAAAAACCATTCTTCTGATTTGCTGTTGTAAGAAGCAAGTATGTTTCACTCCAAATATGAAATGCATCTTGGCAGAGACCCCCATTATTTTGTTCACATTATTCACGAAGGAAGAACTTACCTGCAGATGGCTGGAAAGCATTCTTGAAGACCTTTTTTCTTAACTAAAGATCCTTCGAGGCAATACATGATGATGTCCATAACCTTGGAAACAAAAGTTAAAAATATCTGACATTGTATTGTATACTTCATACTAAAGGTTCTGACAGGCAAAAATAAATTCTGTGCCTTACTGCATTTTCAAAACCTAAATTTAAAATATGTACCAAAACTGCAGAACAATTGCATTGCCTGTACCATTCTTTATCAGTACTAGTTAGCACCAATGAAGACGAAGGCTAAACATATCCAAATGACCCCCAGCATGTCCAGATACTAGTCCCACAAGCACACATGTAACCACCAGCATACTATCTTGCTTGCTTGATCCCCCCACAATAACGCCACAAAACTGCTTAACATTTTAAGTTAAAAAGGTTTATGGTGCACAAGAGAATCAAATGCCACAATGCCGTTCCAGCCAAGTAATTATTTATTACTGCATCAAAACCACAAAGCCATATGGCACGACAGCATTACCTCCACAAGAAGGTCCACAACGTCGGTAGGCATCTTCTCAATAAGTATTTCAATGACTCTCAAGATCTCTCCTTTAGCCCGAGCAAGAGTTGTGGTGTGAATATTCTGCTGAGACTGTGTATTTGCTGCAAGGGCGGTGTGTCTGTGCACCTACAAGGAGCAAGGTTACACATGCAAACTTGGATTTACTAAATATTCTTACTGAATACGTTACATGGGGTGAGAATGCTTTGCTTTACTTCGCTTTGATTATGAGTCACCAGTTGTCATCCCTGATGTAGTTTTTAAACAAAGGTCTACCTTTATTTTGAGTATTACTTAATCTCACGAAGCTACAGGTCAAAATGAGCAAATGCTTAGGGTTTTGATTACATAATTGTGGCATTTTTCTTCGTATTTCCTCAGGAAGCAGGTGCCTGCTTTATACCAGGCTTTTTGTGGCCTGCTGCTGAACATCTAGCTAAGCAAAAGCTCCAGGCATCTGGGTTCACTCAGATGAGTCTCAGAAAGACAGCGCCGACCCACACCAACCTCTGAGCACCGCCCCCTCCTTGCCCCCAGCCTGCATGGCTAAGTCCCCATCCTGCTTCAATTCATACTTAATTGGATGGGTCTGCATTGCCGAAGGAAAGTAGGATTTTTACACGTTTATATTTGAAGTCTGGACAACCTGTAGATCAGGACAAGACAAAGATGTAACTCAACCGACAAAGTATAAACCCAGTCGTAACTCGCGTGTCATTTGGAAAGAACCGATTTGCAACAATACAAACACGACCCTTGCTTTTCCCCCTTCTGGGGAGGAAGGGCAGGATGTGTGAGGGCTCACTGCTGTCCCACGGGGGCTCACCACCCTGCTCACCTCCTTGGCGATGGTGGTAATGAAGGCGGGCGGCCGGGCTGTGGCGATGAGCGAGAGCGCGTGGCGTGCGGAGCGTGCAGAGTCAGCCGCCGGGCTCAGGGGCAGCCCCATTGTGATGCTAAACGGCGCCAGACAAAGCAGGGAGAAAGAAAAGGAGCATTAGAAATATAGAGTGAAGAGATTAGAAACAGCTTATAATGTCAGTTCAAGGTCAACGGGAGCACTCAAACAGTTAGAATATAATGGAGTCACAACAATGAGCAGTGATTAGGAGTCAGGGTGTTCTATCATCAAATACAAAATCGAATAATTAACCATGAAGATTGAAAACAGTATGTGCATCTGTCCCAAGTGTTAAAAAGGCCTTGTTAACAAATTACCTGTATGTGTTGAATACATATCACGGCACCCAGGACAAGGCAAATGAGGAATGTCTTGTAAAGAAATTACGTTTTACACTTTTACAAAATCTTAAAATTCAGGCTGAAAAACATCCTTTTCATAGTAAATCTACTTAATTCAGCTACGCACTAGTTACAGGAGATTAAGCAAGAGGCTTCTTGAATTGAACTCGCTGAATCTGTTCAGTTTGATTTGCTTTAGTGCAGCACTTACAGAAGCATGCAGAGATGACGGACCCATGCCTTATGTCACTTACTAAAATTATTCAAATGCTCTTTAAAAATTTCTAACCACGAGGTTTGTACTGCAGTGTTTCAAATAACTCTCAGAGATTAACTAGCATCTGAGTTTTCCATATGTAGCATTTTAATTTGCTGTGACAGCATAAATTTAAGAAAAAATAAAGTAGGTAACCAGTAACTACATTAATCAAAAATAATCTCTCTTTTGTCATAACTGAGAGAATAGGTTAGCTGACAAAGAAGATGCATATCTAATTTTTGACTGAAAGCTTCCGTTCTTAAAAGGCTACTACTTCAACTATCACTGCTTTAACTACCAGTATCTATGTCATAGCAGACTGCATTCTTGCTGGGCAAACTGTACACTATCCAGAAATTCTACAAATCCTTCCTGTACCCTCACCCACAATCCACAGCCCAAAATGAAAGTACTTCTCCAGGCTAAGAGCTCTGTGCCTTCAGAAAAGCAAGCTAATGCATGAAGTTATATTTGATCTGCCTAAGAATCAGAATACAAAAATCAGCAACACTTGGAGGCACTCAGTTAATACTATGGGGGGAGGGCATTATGGCAAAGCAGTGTTTACCTCCTGGCTACCATTTCCAGAAGGGAACATTTTCCCAATAGAAAACAGCAGCAGTGTGGGAGGTAGAAATGGGAGGAAAAGGGATGTGTGGCAACCAAGAAAGATCATCCTCTGAGAAGGAATTGGGCTTATACAAACCAGGAAGAAGCAGCTGGGACACAGCGTTCGGTGGGATTAGCCTGGCACAAACAGCCTCTGCAGCCCATCCAGCAGAGACAGCTTTCTCCAACGTGCATACTGCAGCAAGAAAAGTGACACCACAAACAGCTCTTTGCCAGCCCTGAAACAATCCTGCTGCTATAGCCATGTTACCCAAAGTAGCCTCCTCACTTACCACTCCCCCCCCCAGCCCTTTGCAGCTTAGCAACAACAAAATATTAACCTGTAAACAACATGGACAGGTTAATCGTTTTCCTGTAAAAATGAGGTCCTTTCCTGCATGCTGCCACCTCCACCAGCAGTGATCTCTGTCTGAAGACCAGAGATGAAGCCTGGATTCTCCCTCTGCACGGGGGATAAGTTTTGAGAATGTGCAGGAGAACAACGCTGTCTAATAAACTGCCATCAAATTTTAATGGAGTTTATATATCTCAGCTGTTTGTATTACAAATAGATGTGAATGCTAATAAAAATGAAGATTTGCTTCAGCGTAAGTATGTCATTTAAGTGCATGTTAACAATAAAACGTTTTATTACATGAAAGAAGATAAAATCTCTACTATTCCTGTGATTTCAGATGTTTAAAGAATGTAAATGAGATAAAAATACATTCAATAAAATGACTCCGGTGCAGTGAAATCATCTTATCTAGAATCTGAAGTTTCAGAAAAAAATATTATGCATTTCTAAACGCAGAGGACAGCCCAATTAGGTAAGCTGTAACTCATTAAAACACGTAACACAATGCCTGCAAAGCAGCACAAAGCTGTCAGCAGAGCTGCACAGCCATCATAACCAGACGTCTCCTTCTGCAGCCCTTACACACCCAAGTAGTCATGCTGCTTTCTGAGAGATTACTCATTGAAGTAAGGGCTGCCGTTTCCAGTTCTATGATCGCATTCATTTTACACATTTAATGCTATTAAAATGGATGAATGGGAATGCTCTGCTCCAAATCCTCATCCAGCATGCTGCCTCAGATGCTGCTGGTCAGAGTGGTGGTGATGCTGCTCAGCACAGCTGTGAGGCCAGCACCCATTTTTGCCCATCCCTTCCACCCCAGGGTTGGCTGGCTCAGCCCTCCTTTACACCTTGCAAGCTCCTCAAAATCAAAAAGCTGCAAGCAACCTCTCTGGCAGGAAAGCCATGGAAATTAAAAGCATCGTCATGGAAAGAAAAGTAAACACTCTGCACTTGCATCCCTCTCTGTGTGGTTCCATATGGGTAAAAACTGGTTTATCAGAGTCAGCGAGGTTCTGCTATAAAAGCAAGACTCAGCTTGCCCTGAAAATAAATGAGAGAGAGGAGAAATTGAAACAATGCCATGCACCAATCACAATGTATGTTTCCTGTACTCCTGACACTCCACACCTTTACAAACAATGGGCTTTTCCCATTTGATATTCCACCAGCACAAGCAGTTCAAATATACTAAACTCAAAATGGCAAGAAAAAGCATCAGCTCATTTTTCTGAAGTCCAGAAACATTTGGGTTAGTCTGTTTACTCACCCTGAAACATAAACATTTGAGATCTCCGATTTTCAGCAGCTAAAATTGACAAACCACACATTCCAACATTTCTTATCCTAGACCTCACGTTCACGTTGAAGAGTAACAAGAGTTTATGAAGTCAAATTGGTGACAGCCAAGTCCACTCCTGCTTTTGGACAGGACTGAGGTAGCATTCTGTAACCAAACTCAGTTATTTATGCATGCCTCAAATTGTGCCGGTATAGTTCTGTTGGCTTTTGTTCATTTATGTCTGAAAAAACAGAAACAAGTGTCTGCAGAACGCTGCACGCTCTCTTGGTTGTTTTGTGTTTGTTTGTTCTTTAAAGGGTGTCCCTAAAAATAACTTTAAGAATATTTTTTTACTGTAAGCTTACAAATTAGGTACTTTGCAGCAAAAAACTTCAGTGCGGTTAAAGCGTTTTCTACCAAATGAACTACTTTTCTGAAGCAACAAGATTTTACAGATCTGAACTCATAAAAATAGCACACAACGTTTGTTATTTCCTTTCCCATTCCCCACCATTATCATTTGCATTAATGTTTTGAAAACCAACAAAGTCTCTGCAACAGTATTATGAAGATGTCTTTTTTTGTCTGGAAAAGCAAATTTGAATATAACTTAAAAAAACCATGTAGGGACTTTACAGACAGAAGTGATGAAACAGGAAGATGGCATCAGAGTGAGGTGTTCAGACCAACCTCATTATCTTTCAAAAGCAATGGAAACCTCAAAGCCTCATACTTTTCCTACGAGAAGGCCTCGTATTTCTGCCAGCAGCACTCTTCCTTACAGGGTGCCTGGTAAAGCGTGCATTTTCCTGAAAAGCAACAGGCTTTTTGTTAATTCATTAGCATCGCTCAGCAGTGGCAGTATGCAGGCAGGGATTAACCCCCTGGCCAGGCCAGCTGGCCTACACATCCTCCTTCAGAAGGCAGGCACACTGCCCAAACCTCCAACAAAACAAAGGCAGATGCAGAACTAACGCACAGAGGGAAACGCTAGTTTTGTACCCAAACTTCTGCTCTTGTATTGATGGGCTTTAGGACTTCAGTACCTCCCACACAAGGAGGCAACATGTGTTGTGCCTCTTGTCCTCCTCCTGCCCCTGTCTTTCCACTGCACCGTTAGCAGACATTTCAAGAACGATTTTTGAGAGTGCAGCAGACAAAATGGTCACAGCCTGTCCTCTAGCACACATTGCTAATATCAGAGATGATATTCTAACTGTACCAAAGAGTAGGAAAGCTGGCTTTCCTGCACCTATTTGTGCTTTTGACTCGTGCCATCCAGCTGATTTCCAGGAGCTGATTTTCACTGGCCAGACTCCTGCACTCTCGGGGAAATATGGCCACACAGCTAGCAGCCTCGGTCTCTCAAAACTGGAAAACAACGGTATCTAATAGACAGGATTATTTTCTTTTGTAGTGAGTCCCTGTGTGGGTCCTACAGACCAGGTGCCCTATGGGCAGCTCTGCCCAAGCCTCAGGCAGCCACGGCCCTGCACATCAGTGGTACAGAGTGTCTGACATCCCTTCACAGCACAGTACACCAAAAACATTATCTCCTCCTTGCTGCCTTTTCAATTAAGAAAGAACATTGTTTTTGCTTTGATTTTCACTAAGATGTCATTCGAGGGAACACACGTCCCCTTTAGGCAGTGTCCCATTATTTGCCCGTGCAATCAGGGCTGTGCTTCAGGCAGGCTCTTCAGAGGAGCACATTTCTGCCTGACCCCATCCTCAAGTCATCACAGTAATTAGGTAGCACCGATGAGAGTGCAACAACAGTTCCATGGGCTCAGGATCTTAACCTGTGGGTTGTAACCTTCAGCAATGCTACTGGTGGCGCTGTCTGTGCAATGGCAAGCACTGTGCACTGATTTAAATCACAAGTTAATCACAGAAGAAAACGGGGTTCATATACTCCACGTAACTGGGTTTTTCATTTCTCCTTTTTATCTGCTTTCTTAAGGAAAAGCTGATTGTCATCAGGAGGTATGTTTTGAAATGCTGTTACCCAAATTGTTTACATAATTGAATTATTCTACTCGTAAGTGCTCAATTGAAAAAGTTAATAAATCAGAATTTGCATGTAGATAGAGACTGACACTTTTAAAATGTACAAAAAATTTTAGATTCTTAAGTAGTTGAGAGGAATAATTTGGAACATACCTGTAAGATATATTTTAAATCTAAAACATATTTTATAGTCTGAGTTATTAAAAATGAATATGATGCCTGCTTGAATTTGGTCATCATACTCTTCGAGAGTCAGACTTCACCTCTTATAAAAAAAAAAAAAAAAAAAAAAAAAAAACAGATATCCAAATGCATCAAACCCTAATGACATCCCAGAAAAGATCACCAGTTCTGACACCACAACTGCAAATTTACCAAACAGATGTTTTCTACCAATCACACACAAGGAGAAGCTACAGAAAGAAGCCGGAAAAGAGATTGCAAAGTGCATGATTTCACAGAGGGTCTTTGGCAGAGGTGGGGCTTATTTTGCCTTTGAGAGAAAGCAGCTATTTGCAAAACAGACACTCCTATGCTTTTTCTCCTCTAAAGCAAGAGGGAGGGAAAGCAGTGAGGACTGGCATATCCCATCTCATTCAACAGGAACCAAAAGCAATATGCCTCAGAAACCCCCTTCTGTTTACATGTGCAGCACTGAAGCAATGGCTGAACAAAGGGGAAGGAACCAACCATCCTCCCTGTCGTGAAGCTGGGAAGGTTGGAATTCATCTGCCTCCTCCTTGTCCTCTCAGTAAGGACTCATCTGTCTCTCATTTGTCCTTTAAAAATTTCAGCAACTGTTTAGGCAATAGTCCAAAGCTGTTCCACTGCACTTGAAAACTAGGGATGTTCGTATTACATAACATACATTCACAGGCAGAATGTATACAGACATAAAACAAAAAGGTTTCCACTAATCGCAGTCAAAACTGAAGAAATTTAGTCTAATTATTTGCTACACACACGTGTGTTAACATATGTGTAGACAGAAACGTAAGTTGTTCATTTTGGTATATGGTATCACAATCTGTATCAAACTGTAGCTTGTAATTCAAAGAGCAAAAATTACAGACAGCAATAATCCCTACAGTCACCTGTGCCAAGAAATCAAAGCCTAATAAGTGCTAGAAAAATACACCTAATCCTCATGCCTGAGCAGCTTCACTGGCTAGCCTGCTGCAGCCTTTGGGGACTGGGATGAACAGGGAGAGCAGAGGAGATATAAACACCCAAGTTTTGGATTTCCACTCAGATATTTAATTCAGAAGGGAAAAAAGAAAACACCTCTTTTTTTTTTTTTTTCCAATAAATGTGAAGTGATTTTTTTTAAAGCACAAGCTTGACATAAAAGCTCTTTCATAAAACGTTCTTAACATCAGGGATAGAAGCCAGGCAGCTGTGCACTGTTATTGTGTACACGGTAAATCAGGCACAAAAAGGGGCAGCTCAGCAGGGCACCGGGAGGGTAAGATGCACACTTAACCCCCTGCACACATTGTTGCTCCATTTCTTTCCATCTTAGTCTGTCTGCAGTCAGTACTGTATCTGTCATGAATGTAACAGGCCATTTTCAATCTAAATCTTGTTATGGATTAATAAGCAAACACTTTCTCGCTTATTATGCAATTTATCATCATGAAAATTGCATTGGGCTCCTCAAGGCTACATGCTGATACATTCATTTATTCAGTGCTCTGTGTATAGAGAGCCATACTAATCTTTATGACAGCTAAGAATGTAATAGCAAGATGAAAATTACTTTCTGAAGAACTGTATTCACTGATTTGTGCAAGCCCACATTTAAATACAATAGAACACACAAGATTCTTTGGGAAGGCAAAATGTCTTGGCTTCTGTCAAGCTAAAAGAAATAATCGAGGTTCAGGCAGATAATAATATTCACCCAGTTTGTACAGATTTATCCACTAACTGCCCTCAACACACCGCAATCACTCATCCTTCACAGTCTGAGGAAATCAAAACTGCTATATAAACTCGGTAATCTCCCTCAACGCAATGTAAAAGGTACAAATCTTAGTGCTTCCACAGGTGGATGCATTAAGATAAACACAGTCAGCTCCTTTCTCCATCCATCCCTTAAAATGTTCATGTGTGTTTATCAGTAAACAGTTTTAAGCATATTTATAAAACAAAACTTGCAACATAGCAGTTTTCAGAACTAGGTTTTGATACTGAATGCTGAGGTTAATGATGTGGACTTCTACTGCAAGTGCTTGTGATTTTCAAACTTACTGCTGCAAACAAGAGAACTTCTCGACAAAACCAGAAAATTATTTAAAACTGTAAAAACAGTTTAAATACCCGTCAATAATGCTTATCATTAGAGGTGCTCCTGATTATATAGTTTCATCCAGCACAGTGTACAAAAAAAACTCCAAAACACAACAATTACTGATGTATCAAACAATAGGCTCAGAATAAAATGGAAAAACAATTAGGAATATTATTTTTAATATCTAAACTAATGTTACTACAGTGGTGTTGTAAACAAAAATATCTGGAAGCTAACCAGAGACCCTCCTTATGCTAACCACAAAGTTCTAATGTATATCAATATTCCCTGCAGAAATGCCTAACTGCAGTTTAATACAAACATTTTCTTTTCCTTTAACATACAGTTCTTTTTCCCTACATGCTTCAGAATACATCCAAAAGCCTGGAAGGCACAAAGCCACAAGCAAAATATCATGTACTGTAAAATGAGCCCCCACATTTTCAGAAATGCAATAATATTAATACCTAAATAAGCAGTTATGTTGAGCTCTGCAATTTCAGAATCAAGAGCTTATTTTTTCATGAGCAAAAACCTTTCACAGATGAGTCACGAAGTCTCCTTCTAGAATGAAATTGCTCCTACATTAATGTATGGTTTATGAAGTAATTTAATAATTAACACTTAAAGAGTGTCACTAATGAAAATACTACGGAGAAAACACTACATAGAAAAAATTAAACATTAAATACATTTTTAAAAAACCCCCTAGTGAATATTCATACAAAACTTTGTGTGCCAGACACAGAAAGCACTAGAATTTCAATCAGTGCAAATTCAGAAAGCTGAAACGAAAAGCGTTACCACGATTCACACACGTGGAGAGTTTGTATTCTGCTGGGAAACACATCCCATCTGCACATACCCCAAATTCAGAACTCGAACTGGTCAGCATGCTGAAGTTGTTTGCTTTTTTGGTAGAAACCAAATAAATTAAAATACATTTAGTTTGCAATTTAGAATAAATTTCAGACCAGATGGCCAGTTTCACAACAAACAATAATAAAAATGAAGACTATACTGCAAATCCTTCACTGTACAAATAGTCCTGTTGTCATTAATCGGATCTACAGAGTAAGGACTGTGAGAATCAGCTCCCCAGTAGAAATATACTGCCTCTGGGACTCAGCTCATACGTTTAGGCATACTCAATAACAACGCTACTCATCTGCTGCAAAGCCACACTAATAAACCCCAAACAATAAAATCAAAAAATTCTGTGATCTTAAAACAAAATTTGCAGGACACTACCTTTATTATTCAAGTCCTCCTAATGAGTTCACTTTGTGTTTAGCTATAACTACTTGATGGTGTGATTAATGGCACTTTGAAGAAGAGAATCTGGTCTGTACAAATGAGGCAAGCCCAAGACCTGAACTGAAATCAACACACTTCTTCCTCTTTAGACCCAGCTGCAAATACTTAACTGAAAGATTTTATTTCTACACTGTGCATGACAGAGCCATTCTGTTATTCTATGATTTTCTTTCCAGGAGATCAGAACATGTACAAGACAGCTAAATCTAACCTAAACCATCTGTATCTTTATTCAGGACACCTTAATAAGCTGTCTACAAACTTGAAAGATAGACTGTGGTCCACTGAATGTATGATTTCTTAGCAATCCTTAAATATACAAGTTTCCTTAATGCTACCAATAGTAATGTTACCAACAAAAAAAAAAACCCTGCTGTATCCAAAATGGAGGATTCCTTTCCTTTTTCCATCTCCTTGCCAACTACTACAGCTACTTCACTATCTAAAGCAGGGCCAACATAATGAAGAGGACAGACTCTTTAGCAGAGTCTGTTGTGATAGGACAAAGGGAAATGGTTTCAAATTGAAAGAGGGAAGATTTACACTAGATATAAGAAACAAGTTCTTTATGCTAAGGGTAGAGAAGCACTGACACAGGTTGCCCATAAGGGTGGTGGGTGCCCTGTCCTTTTTGATATTCAAGGTCAGGCTGGATGGGGCTCTGAGCACTTCACTGGGCTGTACGTATCCCTGTTTTCTGTAGGGGAGCGAGACCAGATGGCCTTTAGGGGTCCCCTCCATCTCAAATAATTCCATTTTATTTGTATCTGAGATGACTGACTACTCTAAACCCAGGATCTGGACTAGATGATCTTAGAAGTCTTTCCCTTAACAATTCTACGATTTTGCATACAGGTCGCAGAGGACGCAGGGTTCATAAGTTTATAAGGAGACACCTACTTGGCAAGCTGCTTCTCAGCATCAGCGCAGAGCTCCAGCAGGCCCATCAGCACTGCAGAGACGTCCATGTAGGGCTCCCAGACAGTGAAGCCACGGCCGATGAGGTCAATGGCAGTTCTGCGGATGGTGCTGTGCGCGGGCAGCTTGGGGCTGGGAGGCTGCAGCAGCAGAAATGTCAATGCCTTGCCTGTCAAGGAGAATGGGAGAGAACCAGAGCAATGAAAGGTGTTACACATTACAAACATTGGTCTATATTTTACTCTAAGGGCAGTTTAAATTCATTAAAAATACCACTTTCAGATTCTTTCCAGGAACTCCTATAGTCAATGGAAAATTTGATGGAAAGATAGAAGAAACCTGAGATATTTTTAGTTAAATTTGAAAAACGTTGTGTCTTAGAAGTTGTATTATCCCCAGATTATACAAGCTTTGTGGAAAGCACCTACAGCTCCTACAGCTGACTCTGCAAGGAATCAGGTTTTGAGAGCTATAGTAACAAATGATAATTTTCAGTTACACATAAGCCCAGGATGTGTTAAAGTTTTGCGTCCCATCAGCAATGCTGAACCCCAGCCAGCCTCTGCCTGCCAGATCCTGAACAAGTTCTCTATGGTAGCATCAGCCCCTATGTTAAAGCACCCAAGACAGCACAGTACAGTCATCTGCTTTAAACAGCCCCATGCCAATACTTAATCACAATGTTTTTACTATGCTAGAAATAATCTTGATGCAAAAAAATAGTCAATCTACACACCAGATAACGGTGAAGAAAAAAAAAAAATCAGGGTGAATCACGATGAAAGAAATTATAAGAAGAAATTCCCCTTCAATAGAGAGTTGCAAAAAAATTTTAAAAATCACTCAAACAGAATCTGTGATAATATTAACGGGGTAATAAAAACCTCTCAGAAAAGAAGGTAAATAATTTTGCAGCAATGTCTCAGGAGAACAAATGGGGAAGAAAGCAGTTAAATTAGGCCCTGTTTAGATTATACATTGTTGAATCCTGCTGGAGCTAAAATAAGTTTGCGCCAGATATGCTTAACTGAGTGAAAAACAGTGAGAAAATAAAGTCACAAAACCCACCACAAAGCTCCTCAGTGTTAAACATGTGGGGATTGGCGCTGCTTTATTCAGGGAGTGGAATGAAATGATTGCAAAGCCTTCATGTTATTCTGACTCTGGTCACTACTGCTGGCAAAGCTATGGGCATCGCAGCTTGAGGGGTGAAAGCAGAATAGAAGTGCCACTAGAAGGAGACATTAACTAATAACACAGTTTCACTGACAGCTCTTGAGATGACAGAGACATGCTATGCAACCTGCACACAGAAAGTCCCGTTGTCCCCCCCCCTGCCGTGGGTTGGCTGCCCCCCACCAGCTCAGGCTGCCCAGGGCATGCCATCCACTGCATGTGGATGCATGTGCACCCAGGCAGCTCTGGGCAGCAGTACTGAGCCTGACTGCTATTTGGGTAAAGAATTTCCCCCTCACATCTGACCTAAATCTGCCCTCTTTCCGTTTAAAGCTATTTCCCCTTGTCCTGTCCTTATTTGCCCACGTACAAAGTTCTCTCCCTCCCGCTATTTCATTCAATAGATTAGTTTTTCATTAAAGTAGTTGCATACATATATATAAATGTGAGGGAACACTAAAACAATGCTCCCAGATAAAGGTAATTTATCATTATCACTACATAATTATTTGTTACCTCTTAATAACATTCATTTAGTTTGCCTCTGCGGTAATGATAACCTATTGATTTGAACACAGTTTTCCCTGGTTTTCAGAACTGTCTCCTACGAGTTGTGTGATTCATTAAATAAAGCTCCTGACATTTCAGCATCCAGAAAAGCTACTGATAGTCTTGCTATGCACGTGAACTCGCACCAAACTTGGATGCCTGTAACACAAGCTGAAAGTTTCTTCTTAAAAAGTACAGCTGGATATTAGGAAAAAATTATTCTCCAGAAGAGCAGTGATGCAGTGGTACAGGCTGCCCAGGGAGGTGGTGAAGTCCCCATCCCTGGAGGTATTCATGAACCATGGGGATGTGACACTTGGGAACATGGTTTAGTGGGCACGGTGGAGATGGTTTGGGGTTGGACTTGATAATTTTAAAAGCCTTTTCCAACAGCAATGATTCTAGGAAGCTTAAATGCACATGAATTTTGTCTCAAATGAAAGAACCTTAAGAAGCATCACAAACACTTTTTTGCAGAGAAGCACTCCAGCATTTCTCATATGGATACTCCTAGTACTGCTCTTGTTGACACCTGCCCTGTGAACATTGAGCTGAAGAAAAGATGAACTGAACAAAAGTCATCCTGCTGCCCGTTTCTCAGCCTGGACATCTTTGTTTAAGCTTTGACTTGGCTTAAATGAACGAATTAATATTGACAAAAACATCAACTAAGCTAATGAGTTGTTAGTTAAGGCAATAAACATGTCACATTAGAGTCAGCGCAGTAAAGAGGTAATTAGTCGCGGAGAAGCCCTGCTAGTGGGGCTGCTCTCAGAGCCCCTCTCCCACCGACCCTGCTCAGAGGGCAGGAGGCTGCACTGTGACACCCACCCCAAGCCCAGGAAGGGCAGGTAAACTGAAGAACAAGCTGAAATGGCTGCAAGCAGCAGATTCGGCTTTTCTCCTGTAAATCTGAATAAAATTCAGCCATAGGAAAGTTGTGATGGTTTGCATCCATCTTCTGCTGTTAAATGTTATTAAGGATGAAGCAATGAAAGTGTCTCTTGTTAAAGATTAGGTGTGACTAACCAGACAGACTGAGTTCAGGCAGTAAATGAGGAAAAAGAGAGGTCGAGAAATGTATTCCTATATATAAATCTGCATCAGAATTTGTCCCCATCTTTTGAGGTGATCTCATTGCAGCATCTCAATACCTAAAGGGAGCCTACAAACAGGACGGGAATCATCTCTTTGAAAGGGTTGATAACTGCAGGATGAGGGGAAATGGTTTTAAGTTGAGGGAGGGGAGATTTAGGTTGGACGTCAGGGGGAAATTGTTTACAGAGAGAGTGGTGAGGTGCTGAACAGCTGCCCAGAGAGGCTGTGGATGCCCCGTCTCTGCAAGTGTTCAAGGCCAGACTGGATGGGGCCCTGGGCAGCCTGGTCTAGCATTAAATGAGAAGGTTGGTGTCCCTGCATGTGGCAGGGGGTTGGAGATTCATGATCCTTGAGGTCCCTTCCAACCCTGGTGATTCTGTGATTCTTTTACTCTGCGTTGTGACACATGTGCCACATGTACATGGCAACAAAGTTAGGCACAGAGGCTGCAAGCAAAGCAAATCAAGGGTAGGGATTGGAAACACATCCTTGCATGCCCTCACTGAAGGCAGCTGTATGGCAGCAAAACCTCCACCCACAAAGCACAGCAGGGTCAGTACTGAGTTGCCCACTTTTCCCAACATTTTCCAGAAGACAAAAACATGGAGTCTTTGATGCCAACACCATTTCTGCTGATGGGAATGTGATCTGAATACTGAAGATTTCAGTTATTTTGAATGCATCTACCCCTTTGAATTTCTTGGATGTCTTTCCTTGCTGAATCCCAAGAGCTTTAAACATATTACACCCATCAGCATTGTTATCCTCATTTTGGGGATAGGTTTAAAAAAATTAAATAATTTGTTCAGGAAAATCAATAGTATAGGCACGAACAAGATACTGGTAACTCTGGTTCCCATTCTCATAATCTGCCACAACATACAGTTTGGGCTAAATAAAAATGATGGACTCCAAGAATGTGATTCAGCTTGCTTTCAATCTTTTTCTGATCTTATATACAAAAGAACAGAAGTGAGGGACAAGAGCTTTAGGGATTTTTTCAGTCTTCTCTCTTTCTCTAAGTCGTGGACACAGTGTTTTTTTAATAAGAAATTTTAAAAAATCAGCACCTTTTTTGTATAATTTTTTTTTTTTTTTGGTCCTGATTTGACATACACCTGGATGAAATACCAGCAGAAAGAGAGAAACTTAACTTTGGATATCCTGGTTATAAATGCATATCCCTTGAACTCCTCATTTTGGAGCAGCAAATTTCTAGCAGAGTTTGTGCTCTCTTTCAGACAGAGGATATTTTCTGCCCTAAATTAAAATTTGAATAACTTTTATGCAAATTTTTGCATTATTTGAATAACTTTTCTAACGTTATAATTATGAACACTTAAAAATTGAACAATGTACATTGAGCACATTGTTTCAAGTCTTCTGCTTTTTACACAGCATACTTCCAGCATTTTTTTGCCTCCTATCTAACTGTGACACATTTCATTTCTTCGACTGAACTTATGCTAGGAGAGGATTCAATTTTCCTGATGCTCTCTCAAGTCACTTATGTTCCATCTGCACAACAGGTGAAGCTCCTACAGCAATTTCAGCACTGGCATGGGCTCAGAGAGTTTTAATCTCTTTCCAAAAACCTGGTCTTACAATGTATTAAGAAGTAGTTACTTTGCATGATTGCATTTTATTTAGTCAGAATAAGAAATGACCTGCAAAGACATTTGTGTCGTTCCTACACGAACAGCCCTCTCATCACTTCTACTCAGGGACTGCTGCAATGTTGAGAAATAACCACAGAGGAGTCACAGAATCTAGAAAAGACCTCTGAGACCATTGAGCCCAACACCTACCCATCCCACCATGCCTACTAACCGTGACCCCAGGAGCCACATCGCTGTGTGTCTTCAACACCTCCAGGGACAGTGATCCACCACCTCCCTGGGCAGCCTGTGCCAACCTGAAAGCAACATTTGCCTGGAAATGTACAACGAACTCTCAGAACTTTGAAAATTAAAGGTCTCCTTACTGAGTGCTGCTTCTGCAGTATGTATGTAACTGGATGCTTTTCGGAACAGTAAAGATTTCTTCTTTTTTTCCCTACAATAAAATATATATTTTTTGCCTTATTTATCTGATCAGAAAGGAAGTGTCCTCATTCACTCTGAAGACTTACAAACTTCAGAAATATTTAATCATAAAGAGAATATTTCCTCCATAATAGGTACCAACATAAATTTTGAAAGTGTAACAGGTTTAGAAGGTCAAAACAGTTGACTCTAGATGTAGTAAATTCATAGCATTAGTACAGAACAGCTTAATTGTGCTTTTCAACATTAAGTGAGCAAACAGCAGGGAGTGCTGGCAAGTGGGCAAAACCAAGACTGGCCC